TGTTTAAAAAAAAAAAAATTGATTTCGAAGTTAAGCTCTGGAAAAGAGTCAGGAATGAATTCCTTTCCCTGTATCTGAAAGGAAAACAATGCAGTTACATAAAAATAAATCTTCATTTTCAGATACATAAAATGGGAGAGGAAACAAACATGCTTTGCAGAACAGACCAACATTATGCATCTAAGTCAAGCAGATCAACTGTACAATTTTATTCTAACAATAATTTCAATTAATCAACACATTTTCTGTATTACTAAATTATGGGGGGGGGGGGAACCAATAGAATTCAGCCAGATGATTTAGTTAATATTACTGGCTTTGGGGATCCTGCTTACCAGTTTGCCAGAGTGCATTAAAGATTTTTCATTAAGAACTTTCTCCCATGAGGAAAGTTTAACACATTGTCTTCTTTTGGGGAGAAATGTTTTTAAACCATCGGCAAAAAGCAACACTGAGTTTTATCGTGTTTTTTTTTTTAAACATTCTCAACCAAAGATTTCACACAATAGGAGCAGCACTACCAAAGGTGAATATGGAAACTGGAATATATCCTTTGAATATCAGAATTAAAAATGATCCTTCCCAACCAAATTTATACCAAATGATGGCATACATGAGATCCAATATGAATCAATGTTCTGAACATTAGAGCTCAAGGCCCGTACCATAATAAGTCATTAAATATATATATAATAAATAAATAGGTTACAAAAACCTTACACAAAATCCTTAGGATTTAAAATAGTTTGCAATACTTTACAAATGCAATACTTTGGTAAAGAGTATGGATCTTTGCTATATCGTGGTGACCTTAATTCAGATACACCTCAGTCATCTACTCAAGAGGTATGTTATGGCATTAAAAGCCAACTGCACTATCTTGGATGCCAGTTAAAAGAATTCTCCAACCCTTCTTTTTGTCCAAAATGGCTGCTGCAAAATAAAGCTCAGAAGACAGTGAGAAAGGCAATCAAAAGGGGGGGGGGGAAGAAAAGAAGAACCCCATCCACATGTATATTATACTGACAACCTAGTTAATGAAAAGATAATGCCCATGATATTAAGAACCTACACTGGAAAGTTGTGGATAGGAAGCATATCTTATTAATTTCCCTAATAGTAAAGAATGCCCATAAAAAGATCCAAGGAGTGCCACCAAATAAAGATATATAGTTCATGAATAAAATCATGAAAACTGAAACAGGACTATATCAAATAAATAGAATAAGTAAACTAACATCTAAGAGGTATCTCTGAGGTAGTGTAATTAAGTTGACTTCCTGGTTCAAGTAAATGTTTCTACAGAAATAACAGCTGCCAAAATTTCTTTGGATCAACTATGGAGAGTTTCCAGCATCAGTTCTTATTTTGAAAAGTGTCAAAGGTAAACATTAGTGTTTTCATTTCTTCTGTGATTACTATGTTCAGTGCGTGAGCCCTCTTGGTAATGAAATATCCACTGTACCATTTAAAAGTCAGTTGCTGACAAGAAATACAGCAATCCTTTAGTTTCACCATTTGGGCCACCTCTGGAAAAACAAGAAACCATAGAAGAATGAAGGGGAAATGTCATCTTATGCTGGCATTTCCCTACAAAACTGATCAACTCACTCTAAACTCACTCTTTAAGGGAGATGGGAGGTCTAGAAATATGAAGTATAAAATAAATAAATAAATAAATAAATAAATAAATAAATAAATTTAAATAAATAAACAAACAAATGAATTGATATACAAGGCTTTGTCGTTATGTAACTCATATTAGGTCTCTTCAACAAAGGTTCTTGCCACATAATTCATACCAGCACTTAGAGGTTGCTATCTACTAAAGGACGATATTTGGTCAACAGTGGTTCAATTGTTCAAACAACCTAGTTTGATACAAACTACAAATAGTTGGTGCATTCCATCAATCTCTATACAGTCTAGCTATGTTTTAGGGTCCTAGCCGTAGAAATTTATTTATTTGTAATATTTATCAATTTGATTTCTGCTGAACATCCCTCCTTCATGATCAACATTTCAGAACAACTTTTGAAAATTTGAAGAAGTGTAAAACACATATAGTTATATAGAGAAGATATTCTGTAATCTTCTCATGACAGCTAAACCGAGCGAAAATCATCCCCATTTTAACCTGAACAAAAACATCATTACAGGATTATCTTTAATTTCTTATGAAATTAAAATTATCCAACCTTGTCCAAAATAAATGTTAAAAGTGCATGAATTAATGAATATGATAGTGGCCATTTAGCTTTGAACTATAAAATTATTAATATTCAGCATCACACTTGACTACACTTATTTCATTGGCGTGGGTTAAAAAAAACTAAAGTGACCTAGAAAATGTTGCCAAATTAAATAAAAATGATCTCTATAAGAGAAAAAAGTTTCCACATACAGTGGTCACTGGCTGAACATTTATACCAAATGTATGCTTTCGAAGTTTCAGAACAAATAATACACCGGTCAAGATACATGTATTGACTTAACTGGCATCTTTATAAAAAACAGAAGTTACACCAATAATAATAGTAATAACACAACATGGAACCATTTCCATTCAACTCTGATGAAACAACACAACTGCCTTCCTCCCCATCCCACCAAACAAGATTTTGTGTAACTAAATTATTACAATGGAAACAAGCTTCATTTATTTTTTTTTTAAAGTCTCGTATTTACACAGTACATTAAATGCAATGACTGCATTTTGCATCTTTAAAATAACACATGATAAAGAAAGAACAAGATAATGGTTGCAACAGATCTTCTATCAAAGATGTGGAGATAGTTCAGGAAGCATTGTGGAAAGAACAGGCTCTCCTATTTTTACTGTGATTTGCTTTTGTGGAAGGCATCTCAAAATTAGGGACCAATGTTACTATGATCATGTCAAACTCAGTTCTAATTTAGTATTAAATCAGTCGAGGTATTTGCAGTATCTATAAACAATTCAAGAGAAAGATTTGGTGCCCATCAAAGATAGTGCAGGTTTCCTTCTGCTTAAACACGAAGAGAGATAGAGAAAAAAAATCAGAAGTCTTCCCCCTCCTCCTCCTCCTCTTTCCCTATCCCAGAGAATCCTCTCTAGCAAAATGGTGAGCAATATTATATGCCTACTAGACACTCGCCATCATGTGTATGAGATAGGCTTTCAGACAAAGCACACAAAAGTCCACACCCATTATTTTAAATGCTGCACCACAGAAGATTCCCCACGTAGAGAAGTTGTAAGCCTTACACCACAGAAGATTCCCCACATAGAGAAGTCGTAAGCCATTAATTAACACCCTCGGTCCTCAAAATATCCTAAACTGCATCCAGCCTAATCAAAGACCTGTTGAGAAATAAAGAAACAAAAGTTTTCTCAAACCTCAAATGTGATGTAGAGGTTGGGCATTATAAAATCCCCTTTTCTGGCAGGCATGCTTGCATTTAAACCTGCCAAACCAATGCAGTTGCAAATCATGCTTGTTTGTATTGGACAAGCTCTACCTGAGCTATGTGGTGAAGACATTTTTTTTAAAAAAAAATTACTTTAAATTTTAAATCCTAAATAGCAATCCTAGTTTTGTGGAAAGACTATATCATGTCCTGGGATGATCTCTCTCTCTCTCTTGACTCTGAGGGACTGCTGTGTTTTTAATACAATTCTAAGCACAGAAAAGCCAGCCTAAATTGTACCCTCAGCTAAAATCCCAGTTTTCTTAACAAACACAAATTAAGAGCTGTAAATAATAAAAACCTGTCTGGTATAGCAAAATTCAAGGTATACTTCACAAAGATGGAGATGGTTTTTACTAACTAGTCATTAAAATGTCTAACGTATCTCCACACCTTACACTATACCAAAGATGCTATAGCTGTGATTATTACCAGTGGGAAAAAACAGCTTTGTCTTTAAAAGATATGATATGTTTTCACATCTTTATCGCTGATTCCCACATGTTCTCCTTAACTGTGAACAGTTTTTTTTTGGCAGAATATGATTCTGAATGGAAAGAAAAGGAACATCACTACCTCTCAGTGTCACATAGCCTTCAGTCTTGAAAGAACATTCCTTAACTATTTTTCTATATGCTCAAAATAACTTATAATCCCTATTTGCTCTATGTTTATTGGCCTGAAATATATATATAAACATTGAATAGATTTCTAAGAGTAGTGAAAGGAAATCTGTCCTCTCACAGTTCAAAGGAAGCAGGGAATACGTTACAAGCCTCTTTCTTTGAAGGAAGGCATTTATTTACTACAAAAACAGAACTTCCCTACAACCTGCACAGATCTTCTTAAGAGCCCACATTTCAGAGGAAATGTCTTCATAATTCACCAGGTGGTGTGGGAATAGCACTAGAGAACGATTTGGCAGACTCTACTGTTACCAAGCATTACTGCCAATTATTACGCAGAAAGAAAAAAAATGATTCAAATATGAAGCCCAACTCCAGAAACTCACTTCCCCTAAAAGCCTAAGCAAAATGAATCCCCTTGCCCTGGATATATAAACTTTCTCATCACCAGCAGCCCCCAGATAGTTCCAGGCCATTCAAGCCCTCTAAGAAAGCACAAGAGAAGGCTAAAAGACATGTCGTTCCAAGGTTTTGGAACCTGGAATACAAGCATCCTTCTTAGGTAAGGACATCAACTGGTGGGACAATTTGTCCAAAATAAGGTTAGTAAGAAATGTTAGGAATACTGAGAGGGACTTTATGCGCAACAACTATATTCACTTTACTAGGAATAAGATCTTTCAAGAACAAGCTTCAGAGCCTCTTGGCAAAAAAAAAACAACCAAAAAAACCCCCACCCATTAAATTATAAAGTTCAACTTTTATTCTATATTATAGGCATCTGTATGCTTAGCTACAACCAGTAGATTATGGGTGCACTCTGATTTCAACATCCCACACTGAAGATAAGGGCAACCATTATCAAATATTCTTTTCTGAGAAAAAAAACATTACAAAAATTATTTTCAAGAGTCAACGTTCTTTTGATCCAAGACATTGTGTTCACAGTACATCGTCTAAAAACATCCATGTACTGTATACTATTCACACATGAGGTCTGTAGTTCTGTATGTTCCATACAGATAGTTTTCACTCTAGTAATACAACTTCCAACTGTAGCAAGGATGTTATTGTCAGCAGCTGTCACAGAGTAATTTTGAAGTTTCAGAAGAAGTCTGCAAAGCTGGCACCACAAATTACAGGGAGATTCTACCCTTCTGACTTCCTCCGCAACCTGCTGTATTTTAGGATAACTTATGCCCAGTGGTCACTCCACTACCAGTGCCACGTTGATATGGGAAAGATCTATCATGTGCCTGGAAAAAAAGATGAATGCATAATGATTTAAGGCAGGTGTATTTTTTCAATGAAGAAAGGAACTTACTTAGTTACACACTTTCTCCCCATTTTAGGCATGGTTCAGATGTAGCCAAGTTTTCCAAGCCAGTATTCTTCAATCAAGACTGGGTTTGTTTCACTGTCAAATTGATTAATTAATATGCTGCCTATGTCAAATCTGGGCAGCTTATAATGCAAAATAAATAAATAAATAGAAAATTAAAAGCAATTATAAATGTAAGAACAGTTAAATTACAAAAAATAAATAGAGTAAAAACTTCAAGGGCTCACATAGGGCAGGGCTGGTGACTTCTTTTATCATTGCATAGCCGCCTCCACCCTAAAGTGGCCCCACAGAAACCACCAGAGTCAGATATTAAGGTCCCTTTGGAAGACCAGAAAAATGGGATAGGTAGACCTCAACTCTGGTGACAGGATATTTCACAGTGGAAAAGGCTCTTCTCCTAACAGCCCATCAGCCAAAATTCCTTGGCTGTCAGAATCTGCAGTAGGCCTCTTCTTCCAGAATATGTAGGGCAGGCCAGTCCCTCAAGGCAAGACATTTCTTCAGATATCCTGGACCCAGTTTAGTCAAACACCCAACTTTTTCACTGAGACACTGGCTTGTTAAACTATGGTTTCTAGAATCTGAATCCACTTTACATTCTGCTTCCAAATCATGACACAAAACGGGACTCTCCAAATTTGGTAACTTAAGATTTGTGAACTTCAACTTCTAGAATTTCTCAGCCAGCATAGCAACTTTAAGACTTGTGGACTTCAGTTCTCAGAAGTTCCTCAGCTGAACTGAAGTCTTAAAGTTGCCAAGTTTGGAGACCCCTAACACGAAACATAATTTGAAATCCCGATTTGTACATTGTACATAAAATGACAGTTATTCCTGACACCATGGAAAACTGTGGCTTAAAGACAGATATCACTTGAAAAAAAAAGTGTACTGAGATATAGAGAAACACATGGTCTGAACACATGGACACAAGGCTTACTTTCAGGATGATCATCACTATGATAAATCAGCTCCAAATTAAACAGTTCTCCAATCTCAAGATAATAGGTCTTTATGAAATGGTTGAAAAAAAAATAAGTTCTTAATATTTTAGTATTTATTATTAAATTATTAAATTTAATTTTTCCCTAATGCTGTCTTAAGCAGCAACAACTTGTCTTTTTTTACCAGATTGGTTGGAGATAATGGGATTGTAATACAATTTATCTAACATTGAGAAATCTTGAGGAAGGCTAAAATAATTTATATAAGATAAAACCAATGCATAACACTTACCTGTGAAACCTCTGCTGAAATTTTAAAGCATCAGCGGGCTCTTTAAATTTTGCAATGGCCTTTCGTTGTTGAGGCAACATCTGTAAACTCTATAGAAGAAAAAAAAGGAAAAGACAAAAATGCTTTTTAAAGAACATTCAGAATTTGGAGTTAAATTTCCTCTCAATAGCTGTTGCAAAAAGATGAGTTAAAGTGGAAGCCACAAAGCTAGCACTTAACTTGCAAATCAATCCATCTGAATACAGAATCTGATGTCCATGTACTCGCTTAGCCACTATGAGGAATTCCACCATCCTCTATTAATTTTCTCTACTAAATGAACAGTAAAACTAAATATTTATCATATTAAATGATCACCACAAATTCATCATTACAGCAACTTATAAGATGGCCTTAAAAAATATTAAAATTCATTCTGAGGATGTATTTTTGTTAGAGAGCTCCTGGAGAAGACTAGGAAGGTGTTATTGAGATCTTTGAAGAAACTGCTGCAAATATCACCTTGATTTCTGACATTTCCCTTTTCCATATTTCCATTAAATTGCTTGTTCAAATTAAAAGGGAAACAAAGCAAGGTATATGTGTGTGTGTGTGTGGTGGGGAAGGGGAGGGGAGACAAAGGAGCATGTGAAACAAGGCTGAAAACATTCAAAGTAGGCCTAACACAGGGGTAGGCAACCTTGGCTCTTTTATGACTCGTGGACTTCAACTCCCAGAATTCCTGAGCCAGCCATGCTGACTCAGGGGAAAGGGAGAGGTTTCCAAGCTGAGCCATGCTGGCTCAGGAATTCTGGGAGTTGAAGTCCACGAGTCATAAAAGAGCCAAGGTTGCCTACCCCTGGCCTAACAGAAGCAACTTGAAATACTTGCAAATTATTCTTAAATTCTTTCAAAACGACAAATGAAAGTTGAATTCATAATTTGAGCAACAGCTGCTCCTCTTCTCTGTTTTTCATGCAGGAAATGGCTAAAAAAAACCTTTTAGATAAATACATTTGCAAAATCTGCACATTCAGAACTGGGTTTCTTCATTCACACAGCCAACAGCTTGCTAGTGGTTATTCCTGGTGTCCAACATTCCAGAGTCATTTGTTAAGGTAACTTAGAAGTAATGCTCTTTGGATTTAATTTTAAGGATTTATGTATTTTATGATGGATGGATGCAAGAATTAGGATACTTTTACAGTCCCCCAAAGGGATTGATTTCTTTCACAGATGCAAAGAAATTACAGTACCATAAAATGAAAAGCAAGGTTTCAAATTTAATATATTCTGTAAATGGCTAATTCAAATAAATGTTAAGCATATAAAGAAAATTAACTATTTATCGCTTTCAGGTAAAGAATGAGTGGGGAGAAAAAAAGAACCTTTTATTCTCCAAAATGAGTTGAAAAGAAATAAGAGAATCCTATAATTAACTTGATTACGAATCCTCTAAGTCAGTATTTTGTCACCTATCCCTTTGTTTAATAAAGAAATAAAATACTATTGCCTAAATTCTGCCAGCATGCACGGTGAAATGTACCTGTTTTCATCTGATAACTTTCTGGTTCATATAATCTCTAGTTTAAATAAATAGCCTAAATTAAGGAATCAGTTACTGTCTGCATTAGCATTTAGTACTATATGTTTATGAGATGTTGAATCCCTTATTCCATACACTCATTTCCCAATCAACATTCCTAGGAATACAAAGGGTTGGATACAGATTTTGTCATATTTAGATGAAGCCAACAGGATTTCTACTAGTCCGGACTGACTTGCTAAATACTAATTTCTTTGAGATTTTTTATAAATATGATCCAGTCCAATACCATAAAAAACTTGGTGGGATAGTTAGCATGTCTTTTAAGACAGGTCCCCACCAGGGACCAGTTACATGAAGAGAGGTTTTTCCATAGCCTGGAGGGTGCGTGGTTTCATGTGCTGCCTGCATCCTGCAGATGGGGCTTTGCTTGTTTGTGCGATCCAGTTACTGGGGGTGGAGACCCCTCCTTTAAGACATTGATCTCCTAAATCAGCAGCCCCCAGTCCTTCAGCATCACTGGAGTTGCAAGTCTCAAAGTTTGTAAGTGTGACATTTAGCCATGCAAGCTTTGGAATTTCAGAAGCTGCATTCACAACCCATCTGAATAGCATCATGTCAAGGATGGCTGTCTTAAATGAACCCCAAATTGTTAACGCTTCTATTTCTTTACTCTGAATTCAGAGAGACCACATAGATAGCCCTTGACTTATAGCCATTCATTTAGTATCACTCAAAATAACAAAGATATTGAAAAAAGTGATTTCTGATCAGTCCTCGCACTTACAACCATCACAGTATCCCCACGATTATGAGGCAACAGGCATGTATTTATAACATTTCTCAAATGACTTCTGAGAAGCAAAGTCAATGGGCAAATCCAGATTTGCTTAATGATAGCCTGTGATTCATTTAACTGCGTGATTTTCTTAACAATCATGAGGGGGAAAAAAGGCTGTAAAACCAGGCACAACTCACTTAACAACCAATTTGCTTAGTAACAGAAATTCTGGCCCCAATTATGGTTATAAGTCAAGGACTACCTATATTAGATAACAACTAAAGTAGCACTGCAATCAGTTACATGAAGGAATTCTTAATATGCTCGTTTAGATCGCCATCTTTAAATGAAGATCAACATAGAGGAAAAGTTGCCAAAACAGAATGATTTTATTACAGTACTTGCTTACTGAAGAAGTAAACTTTGGGTCATAAAATAACAGGAGAAAAACATTACACAAATCTTTCCATACATAAGGAATATCTTAAGTTTTCCTTGGGATTTATAGGATTAGAAAACAATTCTGCACAAAACTTATTTTAAAACAAAGTTATGAATCACTGTGCATTAACTGAATAAAGAATAAATAGGAACGCGAGGCTAATGAAACTTCAACTTTCATTAACTTTTTAACAGTGGGATTGAACATAATACCATTCAGAATAAACATACTGTATATGCTTCCATCCTAATACTAGTTGCAAACATTTTACTCATCCAGTTAACTGCAGATTTCTGTCATTAAGGCACAAGACCGTTATGCAACACCTTTGTGGGTGAATGATCCATTGGAAGATTTGTGAAATATCACTACAGTTTTCGTATCATGGGAATGTAATGAAATTGTACTAGAATGTACTATCAAATAATGGAAGAGAACAGTGAATCCACAGAAACTGAATTTCTTGCATTTGTGTAGATTTGTGGGTTCAAAAGTTCAAAACAGCTAATTTGTATAGTAAAAGTTGCTGTCTTTAAAAGATGTACTTAAAGTTGTATGTAAACAGACAAAATAATTTCTTTTTCAGATGCTCTGCTAATCATAATGACTAATGTTTACATGCGCCTGGATGCTTTCTTTTCTCCTTGATGGTCACTAAAAGATCAAAAGTGTATACTTCTGATTTAAAGCTACCATTGCTTTTGAATAACTAGAACTTTTAATTAGTTATAAATCTAACTTTTATCTCCAAAGTTCACAACTGTAAGTTACAATTCAAAGTTGGCTTACCCAGACAACCCGGATAGGTACTGTAAGATTATAATGAAAAAATTGTGGCTAGTTAGAAAAAACTCAAAACGCTTCCAATCATCATTAAATGACCAATCAAGAAGCAGAGAAGGAAGTACATGAGCCCAAATCAAATTACAGTTCAATGCTTTGTCCAAATGCCTCTGTAGTTCATATTTTGACAACTTTCTTATATTGCAATGTGCAGCTTCAATTGTGACAACACTATGGAACCAAAAAGATCTATTCATAGAATTAAACTATATGTTGGGTTACATCATGTCTAAAAGGCTGTATTTGATAAAGCTACGAGCTCTTAATGAAAGGGTATCTTGCACATCATTATGACAAGAATGTATTTTGGAGCAGTTCATATTGCAGAGGGACCAAATAATATTCAGCACTTCTGCACAAATCAGAATATCATCTCTTGAGTTCTTTACAAATAGCTCTAATAGATTTTTCTGATGTTGGCTGAGAACCTGACTCTACTTTGTCAAGCAGCCCAGAGATATAATAGTTTCCATTATTGGTGCCATGACAATTGGTTCCCAAAGTTAAGTTTATTTACATGCTATATTTTTCACTAACAGGAAGTTTTGTTTCTATCTTAATATTTTGTACACCATAGATAATTAGTTTATGAACTTAGGCATCAACAACGATTTTCTATCTCAAAAATCATCGTTTATATATATCCATGTAAATCAGAATCATGGAAAATACTGCCTGTTAATTTGACTCAGAACCCTATTTCAAGTACATAAATACAAATTAAATGCAGATGGGTATGAACCAAAGTGCTTTTCACTTGAACTTCTTAAGAAATAGTGCTAAGGTACTGAGATTTCAGTTGAATATATTTGAAGTTTCAGAAAGGTGTTATTTTATGATGACACACAATCTAATTAACTGGACTGTGTTTCTAATTTTTAATAACTCACACATTAGTTTATCAGCTCAGGCTTAGGGATTATCTAACTTTCCTTATATAAATTTTAACAGAATTCAATGGAATTGGTTTAGCAGTTTGTTTTTTAAAAATGAAAACTTCTGCAATTTGATATTGCTATAATAGACAACATAAATTTTTAAATTTTATTTTAAATTGAAAAACTAAATTTCCATTTTTTGTAATTTTACAGTTGGCATTTTTAACTTTTCAGAACGGAAAACTGGGCAGACATAGCATTCAACACCAACTGTATAAAGAGTCCTACTTTGAATTCTCAATTGTTAATGAAGTTAAAGTAATGTTTGGAGAAATTAGTGATCATTTGCTGCTCCATATTTACCATGCATATTCTCAAATCTGCTAGGTTGTTCCTTGGTCATTCAGTTTGGACCAGGTTAATGGAAGATGTTATAAAATCAACTTACAATGGTAAACTAAGTTACAGTATCTTTTTACGAATGCAAAAACCAGAACTTTTGCACTGAATAAATTGGTCATCAACCACAAAGAATGCCCTCTATTGCCTGAGAGGAATTATATTCTTAAAAGTCCAATTAGGTCAACAGGAAGGGCAAATGACCATGGAAGCGGCACGCA